CTGAACAATCACATTAAGGTTGGCTATTGACGCTTTGCTCTGTTCTCTTAATCTTTCCTCACAGCAGAGTTCTAATACTCGTCTTAGTGACTTTCTCAAGATCAAATAGGGAAGGGAAGGAATTTGTTCCATGCAATACATTCTTCTGTTTGCCAGCTTCACACGTGCCGCTGATGTTACGTTGTTTATGTGTGCTTTAGATTTGGGTAAATGTGCAATGTTGGGTACCTTGCTTTTCAGAGTCCAATTGTTGTTCACCCCTTGTTTTGTTTCACGTTGCTTGGCCAATGGATTGTTGAAGGAAAGATACGGGATAGGAGGTTGAAAATGTGAATGCTAGGTTGAAATAAGATGATGGGAAGGTGATGTTAAGTAAAAAGTTAAAGGAAAGTGAAGTTAAGTAGCCCTTCACTCTGTGATATATAGTTTTGGGGTCGTTATCCCTATTCGCTTTATTTTGCACTTGCTGCATGTAGAATGGCGATATTCTACATTGAAAAACTCTCCTTCAGTCAGAGCGTTTACGTACATGAGGAACAGTATGGGACCGAGAGCTGGAGCTCGAATATCTCCGTTTGTCCCTCCTCCGCGTTCCTATATTTCCTCTCTCATGACGACCCTCTGTTTCCCACCCATTAGGTATTCACGGCTCACAATCGGGAATTCCGGGTTCGTATCTTAGGCGGGACAGAAATGGTTGGACATGTTTCCTATCACCTAATGCACCTGATCTCCTAAGTAGTAAATAGTTACCCAAGAGTATATGTACATTAGCTTTCTGTACATCGACACAATGAATTATTATTATTATTATTATTATTATTATTATTATTATTATTATTATTATTATTATTATTATTATTATTATTATTATTATCTTCTTGGACACCTCAGCCTGTTTTAGATTTTTTATAATGGATAGTTTCAAAGATATTATGGCAATTAAGGATTAACTCTCCAGTCAACTTTCACTCTCGTAACTTTGTCACTTTCATTGAACTCGATCAGGTTTAATTAACCTGACTTGCCCTCCCTGAAGCCGTGATATTTCTCATGTATAAAACATGTCTTCTCCAGGTGGCCGAGAAGCTTGTGTTTGGTCGTGTACCCATCATGTACTGGGGGCTTTGGTCTGTAATTTAACCTGTAGTGCTTGTTACCGCTCTTAAGAAATGGGAACTACTTTTGCAGTTTTCTGAGCCCGTCGTCAGAGCAAATTCATTACCGCGGGCAACCAATTGCCCCGTTAAACCACCTGGATAGTTATTTAGATATTTGTGATGGTTTTAAAAAGCATATTATTGTTTCAGTAATGGTCTGTTTGTAAACTGGCAAGTCAACTTTTGTCGTAAACAGAGATTATTCTTAAGTTGTAACCTTAATGTATTATAAATCGCTGGTTTAAAATATAAAAAGCATACTGCTGATTTTTTTTTTAAATCTAAAGAATTTAGTTTTCTGTAGCGAAATTCAAGGGCACACTTAAACAGTTTTTGAATTCAATATATCATATTTTGGACAATATTATACCATATTCTCATAACCAAACATAATAAAACCTAACTTGACCTAATTTTAATCAAACTAAATCTTAACCTAAAAGTAACTTTAACCTAACTTAACCGTGGATAGAGAGTAGATAATAGCACACATTACATAGTCATTCTGAATCCATTACCACAAGTGAATTTTCCTCCGCCCTGAGAACAGGTTGTCGAGATGTTAGGGAACTCCCGCCACTAATGAGGTGTTGCAGGGTCCTGAATATTTTTTCCGGCGTTGCTTTTTGCAGCCTCGGGATAATGTCACGGGGTTCTATACAGCCTTCCATATAACAGGTCCATGAGACGCTTGGCTTATCTTATCTTCCTTGTTATCTTTAGGTTATCTTCAGCTTGGCTTATCTTATCTTCCTTGTTATCTTCAGGAAGATAAGATAAGCCAAGCGTCTCATGGAAATGTTATACGGAAGGCCGTATAGAACCCCGTGACATTATCCCGAGGCTGCAGAAAGTACTGGCTGTTGATTCTGTGTTGTACCGCTGTACTGCTGACCTTATTCGCCCCTGTCTTAGGTATATGTACTCGGCTTCAACTGTTGTTCACATTTCTGAGAAAGCTTGTTGAGTCTTCCACAGACTCTTACCGTTTTCTGTGAGTGTTCGCCTTGAGTCTAATCCCTTGATTGTTTACCTTTATTATCTTCCTCATGTGACTATTTGGCCTTTTACATCATGCACATTCGCTTCTTTCATTCTTGGATGAATATATTCTTAGCTCGTGTTCTCAGGTTCGTGTTCTCAGGTTCGTTTCCTCAGGTTCGTGTTCTCAGGTTCGTGTTCTCAGGCATTGGGTGCTATCCTCTCTATGCTCTTTGCAGGTGTGTGTGTGTGTATTCACCTAGTTGTGCTTGCGGGGGTTGAGCTCTGCTCTTTCGGCCTGCCTGTCAACTGTCAATCAGCTGTTTCTAACTACTACTACTTTTTTTCCACGCCACACACACACACACACACACACACACACACACACACACACACACACACACACACACACACACACACACACACACACACACACACACACACAAAAGGAAGCAGCCCGTGACAGCTGACTAACTCCCTGGCACCTATTTACTGCTAGGTAACAGGGGTAGAGGGTGAAATAAACTCTGCCCATTGTTTCTCGCCGGCGCCCGGGATTGAACCCGGGACCACAGGATCACGTGTCCAGAGTGCTGTCCGCTCGGCCACCGGCCCCCCCCCTCCCTCCCTCCCTCTGTGTGTGTGTGTGTTTACTAGTTGTGTTTTTGCGGGGGTTGAGCTTTGCTCTTTCGGCCCGCCTCTCAACTGTCAATCAACTGTTTACTAACTACTTTTTTTTTTTCCCCCACACCACACACACACACACACACACACACCAGGAAGCAGCCCGTGACAGCTGACTAACTCCCAGGTACCTATTTACTGCTAGGTAACAGGGGCACTTAGGGTGAAAGAAACTTTGCCCATTTGTTTCTGCCTCGTGCGGGAATCGAACCCACGCCACAGAATTACGAGCCCTGCGCGCTATCCACCAGGCTACGAGGCCCCTAAGTTGTGTTTGTGTGTGTGTGTGTGTGTGTGTGTGTGTGTGTGTGTGTGTGTGTGTGTGTGTGTGTGTGTGTGTGTGTGTATGTGTGTGTGTGTGTGTGTGTACTCTCCTAGTTGTGCTTGCGGGGGTTGAGCTCTGGCTCTATGGTCCCGCCTCTCAACTGTCAATCAACTGGTGTACAGATGTGTGTATGTGTGTGTGCGTGCGATCAAGCGTGCGTGCGTGTATGGAGTAAGGGTGGAGAAGGCTGTGCATCTACACTACACACGGAGAAAGTGGCGCCACTCCCGGGGGGAAAGCACCCCCCCCCCTCCACCCCACCTTCCCCCCTCTACCCCTTTCCCTTCCTCCCACCCCCCCCCCTCCCTCCACTCCCCCCCTCCCCCCATCCTCACTGAGACAACATGTCCTTAAGCGTATACAACTTTCAAGCCAAGGAAGTCACAGCTAATAAGAATAGTATACACATGCACATGGAACAATAAGTGTACGTTGTTGTTGTTGTTTAAGATTCGCTACTTGGAACAAAAAGTTCCAAATAGCACGGGCTATGGTGAGCCCGTTGTGGACTTACCTGGCACAGGAGCGGGGCTCTAACTTGTGTAGGTCAATAATAAAATAAAATAAGTATGTAGAGTCACGTGTATGTATATATATATATATATATATATATATATATATATATATATATATATATATATATATATATATATATATATATATATATATATGGAAGGAAGTACCACCTCTAGCTGGAAGAAGGGGGACCATAGCCTCGGAACATATATATATATGTGTATATATATATGTGTGTGCATATATATATATATATATATATATATATATATATATATATATATATATATATATATATATATATATATATATATATATATATATATGTCGTACCTAGTAGCCAGAACGCACTTCTCTGCCTAATATGCAAGGCCCGATTTGCCTATTAAGCTAAGTTTTCATGAATTAATTGTTTTTCGACTACCTAACCTACCTAACCTAACCTAACCTAACTTTTTCGGCCACCTAACCTAACCTAACCTATAAAGATAGGTTAGGTTAGGTTAGGTAGGGTTGGTTAGGTTCGGTCATATATCTACGTTAATTTTAACTCCAATAAAAAAAAATTGACCTCATACATAATGAAATAGGTAGCTTTATCATTTCATAAGAAAAAAATTAGAGAAAATATATTAATTCATGAAAACTAGGCTTATTAGGCAAATCGGGCCTTGCATAGTAGGCTGAGAAGTGCGTTCTGGCTACTAGGTACGACATATATATATATATATATATATATATATATATATATATATATATATATATATATATATATATATATATATATATATATATATAAACACGTGTTCATCCTCCAGTCTTCAGCACTGACAGTGATCAACACTACCCCCCCTCCCCATCCCTGATGAACACCCCTGGTGAACACCCCAGGTGAACACCCCAGGTGAACACCCCAGGTGAACACCCCTGGTGAACAGTCCATGTGAACACTCCTGGTGAACACTCCAGGTGAACACTCCTGGTGAACACCCCATGTGAACCTTGCCTGAAATATGAAGCCAAACGATCTACCTAATTGCTGGTATTGTAGTGATGGCCCTCACCTATTTGTGCTTGCGGGGGTTGAGCTTCGGCTCTTTGGTCCCGCCTCTCAACTGTCAATCAACTGGTGTACAGATTCCTGAGCCTACTGGGCTCTATCAAAGTCATTGTATTAATGACTAGCTGTGTTGTGGTTGTGGTGGTGTGGTATGGTTGGTGGTGTTTACAAACACAGTGTCTACGAGGGATGTGAAGCTCTAGCTCTTGAAACCCCGCCAACTAGCCTTGTTGTGCCTGTTGTGTTATAATCCATCTATCTCTCAATGTTCTAT